GCTAAACAATCCCAACTCTCTCAGCCTGTCTTCATAGGAGAGGTGCTCCAGCCCCCTGATCATCTTCATGGCTGGACCCACTCAAGCAGATCCACGTCTTTCTTTTCCTGGGGACCCCAGAGTGGAACACAGTACTCCAGGTGGGGTCTCATGAGAGCCAAGTAGAGGGGGAGAATCACCTCCCTTGACTTGCTGTTCACACTTCTTTTGATGCAGCCCAGGTTGGTTGGCTTTCTGGGCTGCCAGCACACATTGCCGGCTCATATTCAGTTTTTCATCCATCAATACCCCGAATTCCTTCTCCACAGGGGTGCTCTCAATCCATTTATTGCCCAGCCTCTATCTGTGTTTGGGATTGCCCCAACCCAGGTGCAGGACCTTACATTTGGCCTTGTTGAACTTCATGAAGTTCACATGCACCCACCTTTCTGGCCTGTCAGGGTCCCTCTGGATGTCATTCCTTCCTTCTAGAGTATGAACCACATCACACAGCTTGGTGTCATCCACAAACTTGCTGAGGGTGCACTCAATCCCACTGTCCACATCCCTGACAAAGATGTTAAATCATACTGGTCCCCATACAACCTTTGAGGCATACCACTCATCACTCGTGTCCCCCTGGGCATTGAGCCATTGACTGCAACTCTTTGAGTGTGACCATCCAACCAACTCCTTATCCACTGATATCCTGGTCCATGCATCAAATCCATGTCTCTCCCTTTTAGAGACAAGAATGTTGTGTGGGACAGTATCAAATCTTTTGCACAGTATTATCAATAAAGCTGAATTCCAGCGAAATGTTCTTTATCTAATGCCCTGATTTATCAGGCTTACAGATCAAAGCAAACAGTTTTTGCATCCACTTTTATAAGGATGCTTAGGAAGATTCAGACCTTTACAACTTTCTTCAAGTATTTTTCCAGAATACCCTAGGAAAGATACATATGAGAAGACAATTGCTATTCTAACAAATAAAAGTGATTTTTAATTTCTTCTCTCGACTATTTTCTGAATTTAAGACTTCATATCAATATTAGATTCCTATCTCAGGCAAGCCAAGGTATTTGCATTTGTATTATACACTGGTGGATAGACAGATACAGAGTTTTATCTGTTTATATGCAGTATCACACAAATTTTAGTCAAATAACTAAGAATTAAGAAAGAAATCTTTTTCTTAAACAGATTCTTGTCAAGAAATTGCCATATTTACCAAGCTAATAGCTCCTTACTAAAGTACAGGAAACTGAAGACAAAAAAGTGTTAATCATTTTTAGAGAAGATTACAATAAAAGTATGACTTGAAACATTACGTGACAGCCAGAAAGGTACCTTCCTAAATGCATACAATAATCTGTAGTGTACCTCAAGGAAAAATTCTTACATATACTGGAAATTCAAAAATTCTGTGCATCTTCTTTCTCTCCTTCATTTCAGACTCAAGTTGGGGTTACCATCTACCTACCTTTCTTGTTCATATGGCCATGTTATTGCCCAGTTTCGCTGCTTTCTACTCCACAACAATGTTGAATTCCTCCCTTCATTTCAACGGATTAGCCACATTAATTTTCAGTTTCTTAACACTCTCTGACTTTACTCACAACATCTTGCATAGCTTGTTTGAAAATATCCTCCCTTTTACTTGGTCTCAAATACCAATGTCAGTGTTGTTGGCCCCAATTTTAAATCAGTCTGTAGCAAATTGAGTTCCTCTATTGGCTATCCCCAAACACTGCTTCTTCTCTCCTAATCTATTCTTATCACGTACATTCCCTCTATATCGCTGTTATCCACCATGCTACCTCGCAATCCTTTATTTTGAGATTTCAGTTGGATCTTCCTCAAATCAAAGAGTTTTAGAACTTAAAAATATCAAACACAAAGGAAAAATACATAGAAAGACACCATTAATACTCCAGGATTGAACTGTTGGTCACAATTAGAAAGTGGAAACAAAGAATTTATTGCCCAAAGTACTCCATCTTAAGCCTATACCTTAATCTTTAAGAGGATTTAAAGGCCTTGAACTCATTAGAGGTATCATTTAAACTTGCAGCTGAAGTCTTCCAGACAGTTAAACTTTATTATTACAGAATCTTAGATTTTTAAAGTGATTGAAAGGGCCATCTATTCCAGACCTAATACATGTCTTGGCTTGTGCTGTCACTACCATCCTTGCATTAATTAATGCAAAGCTGTCCTGAAAGTTCAGAAGCAGTGATTGCCTGATAGTCAACAACTTTGCTAATACTGTTGGAACATTTCAGCCTGCTAAATTTTTGAGACAAAACTGTCAGAAAAATCCCAAAATAGGAAAGCTCAGCAACAGGAATAATGTATTTTGTTGCTTTTATTGCTGAGCATCAAGAACTTAAGAAATTTCCACAGTAGTCTTAGAAAAGCATATATGAATTTCAATGTATTTATGTAAAAAGTACTCTTTACTTTCTGCGGGTTTTTTTACTTCACACAATATTTTGTTTGTAGAACATGTAGAATTAAAATACAGACCTTGAAGATCCAAGATCTGTTCCTTTTTCTGGTGTTGACTAATTACATAGCTTTGTTTAAATTCCTAGTGTCTATGGAGATGGACTTTCCCATCTATAAAAATAACAATATCTCAAAAATATGCTGAACTAATAATATTGTAGCATTGTAGATATTGTAGTCTTAAAACACATTAAGTGCGTTAAGGAAAATGTCCTGGAGTTCTGCTTCGACCTTTAATGATGATAACTCCTATTGCATATCCGGCATCCAGGCTCTGCTTTCATGTGCTGAACAGCCTATTTTTCTTGTTAAAAGCTGAGGCAAAATATGCCTTCATTTTGAGGATTATACCTAGATTATCTTTTTACGCTTCCTGTCAATCACAAGTATACGAAAGACTAGATTTTCTTGGTTTAGCCTGTCATAGCCAAGCCACAAGGAGCAAGACAGTAGCTTTCCAGATACAACTGGAAATAGCACGGTTAATTTTTCCCCTGTAATCATAACACAATTGAATGGAAAGGGGGAAAAAAGTTGTAACTGAGCTTCCTTTCTTACTACTTTGTTCACACCACATCTCTGCCTCTGATTCCTAATACTATTAATTCCTTTGGAAAGTTTCCTCATACACCAACAAATGCTATGTCTATTCTACTGTATTCTCTTCTGGTCTTCTAGCCAGCCCAATGCACTCCATGTCCACCCCAGCTCATCACAGTCCCTCATGTTCACTTTGCTCATGATAGAAGCTGCAGCACTCTGCAAATTCTTAAGAGAAAGATGTGACCTTAAACAGTTTTTACTACTTTTGGTAAAGGACAAGGGTTTTAATGTCTCAGGGAGCAAAGGAGAAAAGGAAAATAAGAGGGAATCTGCTATTTTAAATAGGTAATAGTTCAGTAACTAAACCACACAACCAGCACATGGAAGATAAGATCATGAATCCCTGTAAGCATGTAACCTGTTAATACAGCCTTGTCATTGCTATTAACAGGCCACAAGCTTTGTATTGAATTTACAGTGCCTCAGCACAGGGGTTTGACAAGCCTTCTCTGTCTGAAGACTTGTTGACCAGCTTGTAGAGCTTTGTTTTACTTGGTTTAGCTGCGACAGCAACTTTTTTAATTGATCAGGCCTCTGTGACTAATTTGGTTTACTTTTATCTTTGTATGGTACTAGTAGAACCCACAGCTATAACAGATTCACAAATGGTCAGTTAAAGAAATGCAGACTGCAGCAGGAGAAAACTGGTTTTAGGAGCAATAAAAAGAATACAGAAATAATATCTAACATATGTAAAGGGCACCACATGTAGAAAATTTGGAGCTGTAAGCCAATGAAAAAAGACAGAGGTGTAAAGCATGTTACTAAACATATAAAAATTATCCCAGGCAGATCCTAGATTGAAGAAGAAACTAACATCATCATCATATTCCTCCCAAAAAAGGATGTCAGAAGGCTACAGTGTTATTCTCACCAGCAGTCCAAAGCTACATCTGCATGCATCAAATCTGGGACAGAACCCTCATGGGCCTTCATGATTAGATAAATACACGTAAGTGTCACCAGATATTCATATAATTTTTTACCACTCCTTTTTATGTTTAAGTGCATGATGCTTGTTCTTAAATATATCTTTTCTAAATTGCCTTAGAATGTTAATAATAAATTCCACTCAGGTTTTCATTGTGTGATTTACAATGCTAGAATCTGAGCTGAATTAATCTTATGTTCATCTAATTGTATCTATGCAATTCTACAAAGCAAGGAATTATGAAAATTACTTGCAATTAGGTGTATTTATGTAGAATCATAGAATCATTTAGGTTGGAAAAGACCTTTAAGATCAAGTCCAGCTGTCAACCTAGCACTGCCAAGTCCACCACTAAACCATGTTCCTAAGCACCACGTCTACAGGTCTTTTAAGTACCTCCAGGGATGGTGACTCCACCACTTCTCTGAGCAGCCTGTTCCAATGCTTGACAACCCTTTCAGTGAACAAATTTGTCCTAATAGCCAATCTAAACCTCCCCTGGCACAACTTGAGGCCATTTCCTCTTGTCTTATCCCTTGTTACTTGGCAGAAGAGATTGACATCCACCTCACTACAACCTCCTTTCAGGTAGTTGTGGAGAGTAATAAGGTCTCCCCTCAGCCTCCTTTTCTCCAGGCTAAACAACCCCAGTTCCCTCAGCCACTCCTCATAAAGCTTGTGCTCTTTACCCTTCACCAGCTTTGCTGCCCTTCTTTGGATGTGCTCTAGTACCTCAAACGTCTTTCTTGTAGTGAGGGGCCCAAAACTGAACACAGTATTTGAGATGTGGCCTCATCAGTGCTGAGTACAGCGGGACAGAAGCAGTATTTTGGTGTCCATTATACAGTAGCACATCACAAAACATAACTGCTTCACTAAAATCTCACCTTAATTTGATGTACAATATTACTATTATAAAAGTAGAAAAATAAAATTAAAAGTATATAAGAACTGCTAGTATAAAATCATTTACCTTTAGGTCTATAGCCAGACTGACAGCATGCATAGCATTCACAAGTATCAAACCATTGTGCAGAAACTGTTCAGGAGTTCTCGGATTAGTATACATCCTTACAAAGTGAGTAGCAATCTAGAGAAGACAGAGAAATCAAACTCATTATCTTCCATTAAGCAAAATTACTATGATTGTATTTTCACTCTTTCAGCAATCCATAAGATCTAAATTTTGAGCTAAAATTCCCTATTAAGAACATACCCAGAGAAAAGAAAAATTAAGAATTAAAAAATCACTCTATAGTTGCTAAACATTGGGGGTTTTTTTCTTTTTAAAAATCACATAAGCCAACAGTTCCAAAGGAAAATAAGGCCTGAATAAACCCACTTACATTAATAAACTGTATAAAACGCACATAATATTAAGAAAAGTCCTTACCAAATATGGACAATAAGCTGCCAGCTGTGCTGCCAGTACCAGACCATCCAGAAGATCTCTGTCAAAATTTACTATCCATCTCTTTGGTGGTACTTCACCTGATTTAAAAACAGAGCAAGGTGAATTAGACTCTTCACCCCTGAGATGGCGAATTTTATTCTAGATAGGTATGATGACTATTTGAAATGACGGACTAGAGGAAAGAACAGAAAAAGGAAACATCTGTTCACATGTAGAATTTCCCAGGCATAATTCTTTTCCAGAGCGATTGCTTGAAAACATGAAGAATCTCACCTAGAATATTGTAACTATTATTCACACACCCTGGTACAGCATGTAATAGTATTCACCACAATGGAAGGGAAAGCAGGTAAACTAAACTTAACCTCACAGATTAGGAACCTAAACATGTAAATTGTTTTTATTTTTATATGCCTAACATTCATAGGGCTACTGAAACCCATGAAAATACGCATGAATCCTTTAAAGTTGCAATGTTTAAGCACGTAAGAAGAAAAAGGTTATTAATTTTCTTTAAGGTCATATTAATTTATTTGGCACAAATGCAATATAAATGAAAGCTAACAGCTCAATTCCTGCAGCATAGATCACTACTACTACAACTGTGTTATAAATGCCTATGCCTCACAAGGTTTTTTATATTTCTAATGTTTTTATGTAAAATAAAACTGATTATTAAGAAAGTAAATATTGTTTGTTTATTTATTAGTATTTCTTATTTGAAACATTCCATATCTTAAATATTTAACACAGCATTTGAACAACAGACTTTTCTTCTTAAGTGTCGTAATAAACCAAAGGAAGAATATTTTCAAATAGATCATTTGAAAACTCTCAACCTGAGATATTCTTTAAAAAAAGTTACTGACATAACAATAACTAAATGTCTTAAATCACTTCTATACCCAATTACCACTACTTTGCACTCCAGATAATATGCACTTTGTGAAGCATGAACACATAGAAGCTGATCGTTTTTTAAGGAGAGCAATCTGGTCACAAATATGCAAGTTCTGAGTCATGCCTTCTCTGTTGTGTTATTTGCAGTTCCTTTCAATTTCTATTGCAAAAATACCTATTGCTTAATTTTCTTTGTTTTCGTTACTGTCTCAGGTCCAAGCTCCCGAATTTAGGGAACACTTTGGACTTCAGCCACTGGCAAGGTTTTCAGATAGACTGGGATCATGCTTTCTCATATAAGAAAAATCATATAGGTTTTACTTCACTATACATCCAGACACCATATTGTTTACCAAGTTTAAATCTTCCTAGATTGAAAAAAACCCAATGATATGGTACAGAATATGAGATTATTAAAAATCTCCTATATATTATGAACATATAAACATCTTAACATTATAATATGAAGAAATGATCTTTTCTTTCAAAAATGTTGCCATTAAAAGATTTTAAAAAATTGTAACACTGAACTGTTATGATAATAATGTAACAATGTTCAGAACAGTCCACTATCTTCATTAGAAAAAGAACAATTTGGAGACATCAGTACTTTACATGGAAATAATTTAAAAGAACAGAAGCATAAAATGTTTCATCAGGTTACACATTTCAGACCTTTATTTCATGTCTGTCCTTATTAAGATCTTCATTCTGCAAGACCAAACACATGAAAGCAGGGGCACAAATTGTGTATATTTTAAAGGTTTCTATCTTTACAAGAGGAATACTATAAACTAAATGAAAGTTCAAGAAAGAGTAAAGGATAGATTATCTATGCATTTGGAATACAATGGTCTCATTTAGTGGTCAAGAATGCTGAATCTTTTGCTCTCACAAATTAGATGACACTATGCTATAGATGTAACACTTCAATGAATGTTACTAAGGGTTTTAAAATTGAGACAGTATTTCTGGGTATATTATATACCCTATTAACAACAACTATCAAAACCACACTGACTAAGAAAGAAAGTAGGCTGTTGTATATTGTAAATTAAATTTCTTAAGGTAATCTTATTCACTCCTATGTACCTTTAGATGTCAGCCAGGCTTATGTAACCAGCCAAGTTATTGTCCAAAAGCCAGGTCATAAATCCAAAAAACATCCAAACTGGAAAAAGAAATCCTGATCTTAAACAGAAACAGTGGTAACCACTCCATGTAGTGGAGTGGTTATAAGTGGCTATGAATCTTCAAAATGGTTTTCTTTTACTAGCATTTCTTTTACTTGAGTCTATTCCTCCTCAATTGCCTTTACCTACCTACTTTTGTTTGATATTAAGTGCGATTGCAAGATTGTAATTAGTGACAGGGAAAAAGTAGCTAGAAATGCTGCTGCTAATGTCACATCATAATTTATCAACATCAGCTCAAGTAACTTCAACTGGTTCCCAAAGAAGTACATTTAAATCAAATTTGCAAACAAGTAGCTAGTATCAGCTACAGGTATAAATTTGGTTGTGGAACTCCTCATTTATATCAAAGACATTAGTTGTAAGTTTATAAAATTGTTCTAAGGTGCTGTAAACATTATTCTTCAGACTAAATTTAAGAGATAAACTATTCAAAAACCAAATCACAGAATCACAGAATCACTAGGTTGGAAAGGACCTTCAAGATCATCAAGTCCAACCATTAATCCAGCGCCACCATGTCCCCTAGACCATGTCCTGAAGCGCCACATCCACACGTTTTTTGAACACTTCCAGAGATGGCGACTCCACCACCTCCCTGGGCAGCCTGTTCCAATGCCTGACCACCCTCTCAGTGAAGAAATTTTTTCTAATATCCAAAATCTGTCTTTCATGATTCTTTTGTTCATTTACAAAATACAGATGCCTCAGCACCTGAAATACTTAAATGTCTATCACTTCACATCAACTATTTGAAGATACTTAAGCATATTCATAGAGGTCTAGAAAGAAAGAATAGGGGCAGATGCTGTACAAGCTTATCAACAAAGGCATGTAAATTCGTGAGCTTAACTTTGTGACATTGATAACGATTTTAGTTTGCCACTTCTTCAGTGTGGTGATGTTTAGTCCAAAATCCCTTATTTTTTCCTATTTATGTTGTAAAGTGACTTCAAACATTATTACAAATGAAAGAAAAGATCAGCAGGTCAATGAGTTTGAAAGCTGATGGCTGCTGCTGCCCACACCTCTACCTGCAATGCTCTGCCTCTTCACACTATTCAGTCTCTTCCCACCATTCTCTGTTTATACATCTAATTACATTCAACACGACGGCTTTCACAACAGTAAGATCTTGGATCTGAACAGGTATAACCTTAGCCAACATCTTCCCCTTCTCTCCCCGCCAAAACCTATTCACCATATCAGAAGATAGATGGAAATCTTACTATAAATGAATCATCATATAAAATATACTAATATATTAGCATATATATTAATTATATTAATAATTACATTGTTTCTTAAACAGTCTCTTTTCTTCTGGAAGGCCCTTAAGTGTTATTTTGTTCCATTTTCATTATTAAAATATAAGATTTAATAGCTTAAATAAAATAACTGGCTTAAAAAGAGAGACAAACTCTCCCTTCCCTTTTAGAGAAAACAGCAAGTTTCTTCTAGAACATTAAAAAAAGTTATTTCAAATTACTATCTAAAAAATTTCCCTTTCTGAAGAAAGTTTTAATTCAATTTAGACTTAAAATTATGCTTTTTATTGTTTTTGTTTCATTAATATGAACAGAAACAAAACTAAATCAATTACACACTATTCAAAATATTCATTAAATGTACGTTCCTTTAAAAAAATCAAGAAACAGTATTTAAAAGAGGATTAGAATGAAAATTTCATTTTCTGTAACCTTTCAAATAAAAATTAAAACATTCATTTGTAAATTCATAAAGAAAACATTTCTCTGTGTCAGAATTTTTTTTTTTCCTATTAACTGAAACAATTTTTTTCCAAGAAAAAAAATTAAAGTTTAAGGGTCCTTGATAATTCTGGAAGGCAAAGTACCAAATGTGAAGTCTGACTGGATATGTAACATCTTCTTGTTACCTATGTCATGAACAGAACACAGCAAATATGGGCTTCAACATCTAAATTGGGACAACATCTAAATTCAGACCGACATTTTACAAATGTCTACAGTAGGAGACATTATTTTCATCCCAACTCCTTGGTAAATTGCTTGCGGTTATCTCAAAAATATCTAATGCAGTCACTGCAAAAACAATTACTTTATAAACAGCAAAATATACTTTTAAAAGCTTATTTTCTTCCTAAAAAGTTAGTCTTTCTAATATAAATCCATCATATTATTGATCATAGGTGGGACCTATAAAATTCAATAATGTTTCTTTTTTTTTTATTATTAATAGAACTCAGCCTCACTCTCAGCACATAGTTTTCCTATTTTTAATAAATTGCCATTTCCACTTTTTTATTTTTAACTTCTCAAGATTAACAAAAACTGCTTTCATTTTAAATTACATCCAATATTGAACTGTTCTTCTTATTAATCATCTAGATTGATTTGCTCAGCCTTTGCTTTGATCAAAAAGTAAACTTTATTGTTAATCCTCTTTTTACTTTAAATCTTACTTTAAGTGTACCATTTAGGCCTCTGGTAGGAATATTACTTAAGCGCACTTGAGCAATACCAGTTGTTCCTAGTACCTATGTACCTTCTTCTGTCTCCACTAATCCTTTCTTTCATGCTGGTGGAATTGTCTGTGTGGCAGCAAAGTGGGTGTGGGAACAAAGCTGGCTTAAAAAGAAGGGCAAAGCATTTCTTTACTTTTTAATCTGGATTGCACCAATCTGGTTTACCATGCAGCCACTTAAAGGTCTGTGCCCATGGAAATGAAACATGGTAACTCTATTACTCAAAAAACATTCATTGAGCTATAGCTTTGTAGCCTCTGTAAATCAGAGCATGAATTAAAAAAAAACATGAAGTGCAGTATTTTCCCATTTTGACTAACTAAATACTTTGTAAGTATTTTTTGTTGTTTTCCAGTTCATCTTTCTACTATCAGTCAAGCTACTTAACTCAAATGCTTGTAATAAATTAGTCAGAAATCATAATGCATTTTTCCTAACTATATCAAATCTAGCAGATAATCTGCCAGCTAACCCCTGT